TTGCACCTACCGTACGAGGCACGAATGGGGGGTCCCGTGCAGGCCCGTTGGTGCTATCCGATCGAGAGATGTCTAAAGGTTCTTCGCAAAAAGTGTAGAAATAAAGCCAAAATTGAGGCGTCCGTGGCAGCGGCATTCATTATGGAGGAGGTGTCAAACTTCACAACAGCATACTATAAGGACAACCTTCCAAGTGTGCACAATCCACCCACTCGTTACAACACCGACGAGAGTTCATCGAACCTCAGCCTTTTCAAAGGGCAACTCGGAAGCGTAAGCGCATCGAGCACCAAGACCTTGCAGTATGATGAGTGGCGCACTATCATGCTGTATGTGTTGTTGAACCTTGACGAAGTGAACCCGTATTTGCGGTAAGTTCTCAATGAGCTTGTTACATACGCCGTCACTATCCTCCATCCATCCAACCCCCTTGTCTCTCGTTTTTTCAGGAAATTTCTGGATAAGTACTGGCAAGAGGATTTGGCTCCTTCCCCTCAAGAACAAGATAGCCTTCTCAAAGATGGTGTGCCCGATTTCATTTTCTGGTTTAATAAGAAGGTACCGTCCAATTTACCTCGTTCTATCTTTGACTCACCACTTTGCTCGTACGAGCGAGTAATGTAACGATCTATCCGGCCTCACCTTGCAGGCCAGCACAGATGCGGAAATGAGTGATGAGTTGAGACAGGTTACCAATGGCTTCGCCTATAAGGTCAAGTTATTTACCGTTTACGATGTGAATGGATATCGCTTTCACACAACAAGACACGAGCAGAGTCGCTCAAACCGAAGAACCACGAATACCGGAGTTTGTACGCCTGGCACCGATGACCGCGACTACTACGGCATAGTCGAAGAAATATACGAGCTCAGATTTGAGGGTCGCAAACCTCTTAATCCAGTCGTATTCAAATGCCATTGGTTCGATCCTGATGTAACGAGAACGACCCCTGAGCTTGGGCAAGTCGAAATTCGACAGGATTTCGTCTATCGAGGCGACGATGTCTATATTGTGACTCAACAGGCCACGCAAGTTTATTATCTCCCATGGGCGTGCCAAAAAGACCCCAATCTTACGGGCTGGTACCTTGTGCACAAGGTATCGCCGCACGGTAAAGTGCCTGTCCCGAACGATGAGGATTACATCTTTGACCCAAACACATACGATGGAGAGTTCTATCAACCAGAGGGGCTAGAAGGAAGGTTTGACATAGACATGTCTTCGCTGATGGACATGGAAGTAGACAATGACATTGATGAGGACGATGGAGATGAGGACGATGGAGATGAGGTGCAAAATGCCAACGACTTACAAATGCTTGAGCGATTACGTTTAGGCGATGACAATGATGACAACGTTGGAGATGAGGCCGATTTTTTCGACAATATTGATAGTGATGCCGATGACAACGAGGGAGATGATGACAACGAGGGAGATGATGACGAGGGAGATTATTTCTAATTCATGTAACACTATATTATTATTATTAATAATTTGCAATTATGTTTCGTTCATTTTACATCTCTTTATAAGGACTTACAAATTCATTTTGCATCTTTGTAATTGCAGGCACTCGACAAAATGCCTGGGGGAAGGCAGAGACTGATCCACTCGATCTACGCGACACCCCCCGCTCAGGAGGACGAGGAGCCGCCGGCGGAGACGTCGATGAGGAGGACTACGACCGGCCGTCCCCGTGGCCGTCCGAGGACGAGGCCTACGCCTCGCGCCCCGTCGCCCGAGGAGGACCAGGTGGCGGCCTCCGGGGACGAGGGCGACCAGGGGGCGGCCGCGGGGGACGAGGACGACCAGGCGGTGACAGCAGGGGGTTCCGCTTCGTCTGGCCACGAGGAGGCGGCGACAGCAGGGGGTTCCTCTTCCTCTGGTGGGTCGACCGTCTACTTGCGCGGGCCGTCGACCCTCCCGCGGAGGCCGATCCTAGTTCACCAGCGCCCGGTGATTCGAGCCGTGGGCGACGGGTACGTAACCATTCATGTTTTCTCTACTTGTTCATATGACATGTTGACAATCAAAATGGAGACTAATAATTCTTCTTAATGACTCGTGCAGCAACTGGGAAGTTGTGTCCGGAGCCGGCCAGGTACGCCAGATCAATGGCATCCTGAGCCTTCTGATTCGGGAGCACTACCCTGGCATGGTCACCGTCGCAGGCACCAACGGCAACGTGACTACGCCGCCCTGGACGTGGGACCACTTTGCCCTCGCCACGGACAACGTTGCAGGCACCAAGGCAGCGCGGATTAAGCAGGAGCACTGGGTAAGTCTTCATCGCACTACATTGGTCAATTTATTGTATTCATTGGTCGTTCTTAAAATAATGAAATGATACATGATGCATGTATGCAGGACTTCTTCAGGTGCGCCCCGGGGTACGAGGGCCGGGCGGAGCGAGTGCAGGACAAGGTCTGCAGGCACCGACTCTCAGACCTGTACCACGAGACGCGGCTCCAGTGCATCATCAACTACAACGGGAATGTCCTTGGTGAGGTGGTGAGGAAGCAGGAGGCCAGGACCATGACGCTCACCAGGGAGCAGTACCTCCAGGTTAGTACGAAACATTAATACTGATTCCTTCCATGAAGAATAGGTAGGCTTCATTTCATCTTTTGACATGTTATATACTTGATGGTGTGCAGATGTGTCCTGATTGGTGCGCCAAGGACCGAGCCTGCTGGGCGGCCATTGTGGACAGGTGGTGCTTGAATGAGTGGATGGAAAAGCACAACATCCGTCGGGACTGCTGCCTGCAGATGGGTGGTGTGCCACACCACCAAGGCAACCGCCACCTCGGCGCGTACGCCCAGACATGGGTAACGCTCTTTATATTTATTTCTTTATTCATTCGAACGCTCAATTCTCATTACTTGTAATGATCTTGGTGTTTTCCTCGCAGTCCCAGTCGCATGGTGGCCAGGAGTGCAACGAGTTCATGGCGTACGCCCTGGCACACAAGGGCAAGGCGACAGCCCCGGACCTCACCCACAACCCGGAGGACCCGCCCGAGGCGTACACCAACACGAGCGTCCACAAGCAAAGCTCAATGAAGTACTCCTCGGCGGCTCGCAGCGCCATGGGAGGACTTCGATCCGCCTCCCACCTGGATGCGGACCTCGTGATGAGGCTTGGAGGAAGGCAAGATGGCGGTCTTGGATGGCGGACAGCCAAGTTGACACGGCCTCTACTCCCACCCTCTCCCGATTCGAGCAGCGAGCACGAGCTCCTCCCTCCCTATACGACCTCGGCGGCAGCAGGTGGGCGGAACTCCGTGTTAGTCCTGTTTTATTAAATGCTTCATTGCTTTTACATATATCTTGCCTTTGCATTGTTGAAACATTGCGGGTGAAATATTGCAGAGCCCAGTGTGAGGTGGAGGCCACGTGGCGCGACCTCATGCAGTGAGCAAGAGCTAAGGCGGTGCCGAGGAGAAGAGGCTGCGGGACCTTTATGCGTTCATGGCGAACCTTCGAGCCACGACGGGTATAGCAGTGCCACCTTCGCTCCTCGCTCCAAAGGTTTCCGTACTCCTGAACCTAGTCCGGTGAGTATGGTTGTTTATTGCTTTAGCTTGTGCGACCCTCCTGCAGAAACTCATGAATTCGCTTTTCCTTTGCGCAGCCACCGTCCGCGGGTTCGAACCCGACTCCTCAAGGGCACCACTCGACGCATCCAAGTGAAGCTGGCCCTTCTCCACAGTCCGGGTGGCCAGCTGGCCCTCCTCCAAAGCCCGGGTGCCCAGGTGGCCCTTCTTCACAACCCGGGTGGCCAGGGTGGTAGTAGGTGCCTTTGATTTGTCTCTTTTCATGTTTCATGGACTTATGTTGCACTTAGACTTGTGTTGGATCAAATACTTGTGACATATATGTATTGTGATGGATATTGTGATGGATGTGATATATATTGTCATGGATGTGTATGTGATGGAGGCATGTGATGGAGGGATGTGATGGAGGCATGTGTGGTATATATTGTGATGCATGTGATATATATTGTGAGAATATATGTGAATTGCTTGTCTGTGACAATAATGTGAGAATATATGTGTTGGAAAGCAAAAATAAAAAAAAATGAATTTTCTGCAGATTTGCCGAGTGTTGCACTCGGCAAAGGACTGCAAAGGACTCTTTGCCGAGTGCCACAACCATAGCACTCAGCAAAACTGGGCACAACTGGGCAAAACTGGCTCAGGTCCCAGATTTGCCGAGTGCTGCATCAGTCACTGACTTTCGGCTGAATCGGCACTTTGCTTGCAGTGTGCTAGAACCATGGCACTCGGCAAAGATTTTTTGAAAAAAAAATTAAATTTTTTTTGCCGAGTACCGGCCATGTCACCACTCGGTGAAGATTTTTTTTTAAAAAAAAATAGGAAAACTTTGCCGAGTGCCAGCCACGTCACCACTCGGCAAAGGCGCCGTCAGACGGGCCTTTCCGTTGACGGCGACTTTTCAGTGCCGAGTGTTGACGTGGCACTCGGCAAAGGCTTTGCCGAGTGCCCGATATATTGCACTCGGCAAAGAACCCTTTGCCGACAAAAGCTATGCCGGCGGGTCTTTGCCGAGTGCAAACTTGGGTTTGCCGAGTGTTTAGGGCACTCGGCAAAGAACCCGTGTCCAGTAGTGAAATCAAGCTGATGGCTACATACACATATAGGTTCCTATACTAGATGAAGGCAAATCTTTTATCTAATTACCATTTTTAACGTGAAGAGCAGAAATTCGTGTGTAGGGAACACATATGGCTGCACCTTAATGTTAATCACTTTGATTTAAGATCATAAACCATTTTAAGAAATCATTGAAGAAGCACACCCCTTAAAGTTATACTTCACTCATATAACAGATTTACTTTATTTCAAAGAATATCATACTTCACATATTTTCTTAAAACTGTGCATATGCAGCAATGTATGATGTATCCCAATTTCCAAACTAGTACATATGATACAAAAAAAATGTTATGTAAAACCATATAAGTGAAATACCCTTCTCAACCGGAGTTGCTGGGCAATACTGTCTGTTGAAGAGGTATCAGCAGTCACAAGATTCTTCTTCACCTGCAACAGTGGATACACAGGGAAAGAAATATCTTCTTAGTGGAGAAAAACTGTAACTTTGTGGAGCAGAACTCAAGGGATAAAAGAAAAATACTATAACAGTTGCTCAAAAGTTTAAGGGGGAGGGGGGGGGGAATTAGATTTTCGAAAAACAACTTTTTTAAAAAACGTACAATTATATTTTTAACATATAACTTTTAGCATGAAAAGTAAAACACAAAAATAGAATGCTAAACTACTGTATTTAGCATCAATACTTTTGGGATTCTATTCCCTACAAAACAGCATGCTCTAGAATGTTGTTTACCAAAGAAAATAATGCGAACAGCATGAAGTTCCACATGCTTACAAAAAATCCCTAGTACAGATTTGTGTTCTCGCATGGACACTCAGCTTGGAAGAAATTAAGCTGTATGCAGTTTCCTTCTATTGAAGTGAATATTGATGAAAGCAGAATAAGAATGTGTAACGTTTTGAAAGATTTGCATGTATTTAATTGACAACGAGACATATTTGCAATTTCTATGATTTTTCATGCTCCTCTTTTAAAAGGTTGTGTGAGCATACTGCCAAGTAACTTCTGCATGAGGTCCAAATTTGCATCCGATGCGAGAGGGGTTCCAGTATGTAAGGCTTTTATTTTGTATACACGCTCATCCATACCCATCCGTACAAAAAAAAAATAGAATTCTTTTGCACATACTAAGTAAAACAACTAGAAATTCATGGCTGCCCCGAGGACCAAGCACAGAGCTAATCATGGATGATCACAAAACAAACATGAAGTTTTATCATGTTTCAATTTCTAAGATACGCGCAGTAACTGAGGGAGGAGGATAGGCAGTGGAGCATTTGGTCGAGAACGTGGTGCGCGCACCTTGCGGAGGCGGAACAGCTTCTGCACAAGCGACGCCGGCAGGTGTGGGCAGCAACGCCGGACCCACCTGATAGCCGTGGCGTTGGAGCATGCTCCTTCCCCACCATCTCCCCGAGAGATGGCTCGAGCGGCGGCGTTGGCGTCGAGCGGTGCGAAGGGAGGGAGCTCCATCCACCGCTTCTTGTTCTCCTCCCCACCGCCAATGCGACCGCCATCGTCTAGAGTAACGTGCCCCACTGCGGTGGACAGACCAGCGAAGTACTGTTGTAGCGGCTTTGGAGCTGCGGCGGCGGCGGCCCCGCGGCGGAAGAGGAGCGCTGCCGTCCTGATCGCCATCGAGCCTTGCTCGGCCTTTCCAGCCCTCTCCCGCTTTTCCTAGCCGTTGGATCACGAAAATGAGCCGGACGAGGGGAATTCGTCTCATCCACGTAGATGGGCCGGGTTTGGGCCTAGCCAAACAAACCGTCAAGACTCAGGTCCTGTTTGGCAGAATGGTATTTTTATTGACCTGTAACTGATTTACAGGTGTAATTTCTAGTGCACAAGAATACAATTGTATATTTTTTCCCTTGGAATCCTCTGTTTGGGTTGAAAGTAAAAAGTTTATCTACGTTGCCCAGAATAACCACGCGTTCGCTCATATCCCAAGCTGAAGGCTGCTGACTGACCAACGTTGGGTTTGCAGTGACATCAAATAAACACAAGGACCTTGTTCGCTTGTTATAATCTGTACTTTTTAGTTTGTTTTTTCCAACCGGAACCGTGTTTTTCTCTCACAACAAATCAGCCAGAACAGTGTTTCGGCTTGTTTTTTCAGCGAAGCGAACGGGCCAAGAAGGACTTCTGCTGACATCCCAAATGACCAAAGTCTGCAGCAGTGACTACTGGACAACATAACAGTGAGCCAGTAAGCACAGTCATGACATGGAGCATATAAAAAATTTGAAAACAAGACATGTTCATCCTGAAAGTTAACAAAATTCATATCCAACGTTGCAAGGAGCCAAAAAAAAGTTCGCATGTCCTTTCGACATAGTTCCTTCAAATAGGATCCAACAAAGTTGGCATGCTCATATTGTTCTTCTAAGCTCAAATACAAGGACATAAATAATGTTTAAAAACAGTTGACTGATGGTTGAAGGAACTGCTAGCATCAAATAATATCGTGTGACTTCATACTCCTCCACCAGTAAATGCTTCGATTTTTTGCATGATCTTTAAATGTTGCGGCCACTAACCTACAAAATATATAGAGTTATAAAATACATTGTATAATCTAAATAAACAAACTTTGGTGATAGTAAACCTAAGAGCTTGTATTGTAGTTATTTTCCATGCAGTTAGGTACATTTTTACATGGGCTAAAGCTGTATTTGCATATTTGGAAGGTGGTATTCATAACTGCAAACACTAGAAGCAAACATGACCATATTCATACTTCAGATGCATCACAACTGAGCAACTCATTTGCCTCCAGCTTTTGAGCTCAGAAATTACTAAATTAGACACCAAATCTGATTTTAGTGCCACAACGGGTTCACACTTCAGATACATCCAAAGTTTACCTAGTATTTCCATGATAGATTAAAAAAAAAGTATCTCCATGATCAACAGCACAGTGATTAGATAAGGCCCTGCTGCTGCTAACCTGCTAACCTGCTGCTGCTGCTGCTAACCTGCTAACCTGCTAAGCAGCAAGTTAGCAGTCACATAGATTTTACTACTTAAAATCTGCTAACCTGCTGCTAACTGAAAGGCTGTCATTGATTATATTCCTCCTACTCTGATTATCAATTTGGCTACCATGTGCAATGCAAATTAAATTGTTCATGATGATCTCACTACACACCTTTCAGTTGAGTTTTAACTATCAAGATTAAATTGTTCAGAGAATGATAGTATATAAATAGATAATCCGGTGGCATAAATTAGAATGATGTACGGAAATAAAACATAGGAGATGAATGGACTATATGAGTCCTACTATATACCACATGTTCTAAGGAGAGTACAAGGGAGGGAACACAGAACAGATGATGTGCATAGTTATTGCATCAGCACTATGCAAACAGAAATATATTCTTGGTGCAGGAAACATGGTTTATACAAATCTATCACTGTGTTCTGCTTCTATACAAATCTATCACTGTGTTCTGCTGAAGAGAAGTGCTATAAATGAAAACTCATTTCTGTCATATGACCCAGAATTATATCAAGTCCCATAATCTACGGCTGCTTCCATATTCTTATTCAGAATTTTGGGCGATTCTCAGAACCAGTGCACTTGCAGGTGTACAAGCACATAGGACAAATTCTCAATTGATGCTTAGATTGCATATATCTACAACAATGTAGCACCACATTTATTATGGTATCTTTGGATACTCATTCAACTTATTACTACAACAAATTAAATGCCCCATCGTACCATGTACCTTATCTGACAGGGAAGAGCTCTTCAAATCAAAGATGAATAAAAATATTCAGTAACTTATTTAGTTCACCACAAGAAATTGTTACCATCACAGCCTAGCAACATGATAGCAGAGGGATCACACTAACCAAGCATGTAGCATTGTAGCAATCGTAATGCAAACGTGTTAGCATCTCACATCCATTTCTACGTGTTGCAGATACACTGTCCAGCCCAGCGAGCTGATACTTGTGTGTAGGGTGGGCAGAGATAAAGATGGAGAAGGAACACATCAAGATGGCCATGCTGAGGCAATAACAAACATTCAGGCAGCAGGTAAACCATGTTGCCAGAACTTGCACCCGTGTTCAGCAAAAAAAAAAAAAAATGAACATGTCAAATCCTCTCCATCCCGTGTGAGGTTGAAGAACGTGAGGGGACAGAGGAGGATACCTGATTTGATATCTGTCGTCGAGGCTCCAGGATTCAGGCGCTGAGGCGGACGTGGATCTCTCGCCTCACTCAGCTTGGGGCCGTCGTCGTTGCCGCCGCCGCCGCCGCCGCAGTCACCGCAACGAACCCTCGCCTCCGTCCGGAGTAGCCAGCGAAGGGAGATCGAGGACCCGGCCTCTTCTTCTCACCGGCCTCAGCTGGAGGCCGCCGCCGCTGCCGATTTTTTTTATTTTTTTTACCCTTTTTTTTAAAGTTTTTTATAAATCTGTCTCTGGAGGTATGTTTTTAAATCTGGACCCTCATCTCGGCGCGGATGTTATTAGCGCCGAGCTTACATATCTCGGCGTCAGAGCAGGTCGACATAGGCGTCGACGAATACGTGGTGGTTTAATGTTAATTGCTTTCGGTTCTTAAAACGAAATTGTTTAAATTGTACTTATGGTCAGATGACCGAAAATGCCTTCGACCCATTGCCTCTGCCTAGTGGTGTTCCAGTGCCCATATACTTTTACGGTGATCCTTGCAAGGTAGAAAAGTCCTATGAAGAGGACACGTATAGACTGAGGTCCTGAATGTGTTCCAATTTTGCATTTGAGCCTACACTTTGTTAGCGCTGCATTAACAAGATGGTGAGAAATTGATTTTGTGTAATAATTATTTTGTGTCATGAAATCTTGCATGATTTTTTTTGTTTTATAACAATTGTATTTGTTGCAGACCCCTCCACCGCTCTGTGACTTTGAGCAGTGGATCGACACTAAAGATCAAGCCTGAAAACAAAGAATAGATGCAGAACTGTTACGGTGGGAGGCAGATGATAAGGAGATGATGGAGAAGAGACGTAGAGAAAAGGCTATAGAAAAGGAGCACAAGAAAGAGGAGGAAATGAGGCGTGTTGCTGTGTACAGGAGAGGGAAAAGAAGCTTGAGCATGTGTGCCGAGCGAAAGCAGCGATGGAGGAGAATCCCGATGCCCTGAGGAAGGAAAAGTGGCCTCGTTGCACTCAGTAGTTTCCATGACTTGTTAGGTTTATGGTTTTTTCATGAATAATGTTGTCTACTCTTGAACTTTTCATTGTGTTGTTATGTAATGCACTTTTAGTATGAGCGTACTTAGGTCATGTACTGTGTTATTTAGTTTGTCAACATGTACTTCTAGTATTATTGTGTTGTTTAATGTGTTATAGTATTGGACTTTTCATTGTTATTTTCATTATCTGTGGTCATAATATTCAGTTTAATGTACTTTAGGTAGAAAATTTCGGCATAATTTCTTCTATTTTTTATGTAATCCATACACAAATATGACATAAATATTTAACCTCAATACAATATGTTCAAACGTACAAATATATGCCACATTCATCTCAAACTATATACATGAGCATATTAATAATCCACACAGTCCATAATTATAGTTCATAGTAGTTCATACAGTGCATAATAATAATCCACACAGTCCATAATAATAGTCCATACAGTACACAATAGTTGATAATAAAAGTCAACAAAGTCCATAATAGTACATAATAACATCTACCACAAACTCTACCCCAAACCCTCACTGTCTTCTAGTCTTTTCTTACCCTTGTGACCAAGAGTGTCGGTGCCTAGAGTGAAAGGGTCAGATGGACGGCGTCTCCTAGTGCCTGTAGGCTATGTAGAGTGAGTTGTGGGAGCGTCCAGTAGCTGAGATGGTCCAAGCTCCTCGTGCCTCTGGTCTACCTCCTTGTCGTCCTCGTCCTCGTCCTCATACGCAATGTGTGGGGGATATGACCCCCGGTATTCCTAAGACAAGACATGGGCCGCACCATAAGAGGTGGCCCAGCCTAAAAGATCAAGGCGTGCATGGCACTGGTCGACGTGCACCGTAAGATATTATATAGTACAAAATATGATACTTTTCTTATAACCCTATCCCTCCAGAGTATATAAGGAAAGGTAGGGGTCCCCTAGTCGACATCTACATGGTCATACATCTCAATGCAATACATCAAAGACATATGACGTAGGGTATTACGTCGATCAGATGGCCCGAACCTATATAAATCGCTGTCTTTACGCCTTGTGTCACCATCCGGTTCCTGATTACGCGCACCTCCACCGATCAATCCACCTTCGTGGGATACCCTTCGGAGGACTGCCGAGCATCTTTTGTCGACAGTTGGCGCCCACCGTGGGGCTCGTGCGTGCTGATCCCTGGCGAACCAGATGGCGTAACTCAAGATCAACATCCTTCGCGGCAACTCGGCTGATCGCGTCAACATCCTTCGACAACCACGGCGCACATCTTCGTACGCGGATTGACACCGCCAAGCTCCGACTACGTTCGTCCTACTCCAACACGAGATCAACTTCGTTCTAGCCATTAAGCGAGCTGCTTAGCGAGCTGCCTGCGTCGCCGACCAAATAACGCCATACGCCGCCGACCAGACATTCTATCTAAAGCTAAGTCATGCTTTAATATTTTT